TTTGCAACATCTTGGTATAAGTATAAAAAAACCAATATATTTTTTTTTATATATATATAAAAACAGCCTACTGCTTTTCCAATTTACCTCATGAACAAGAAACATTTCAGGATAAGACCAGTGTTAATTAAAGCATTTAATACTTATTTGGTGTAGTCACAGTGAGATTCTGGAGAAAGGCTTGGAAGTTAACAACTGTGTAATGGTGAAGAACTGGGGACTCATTCCTTCACCAAACATTGCTTATCATTCACCTACAACCTTCTCCTGGTTTTCAGCTGAGACAGAGCCTGGTTTCCTTTTAGTAGCTAGAACAGCGCTGTGTTTTGGTTTCAGTGTGGGGTTTGTTATGAGAAGAACGTTGATAACATACCAACGTTTTCAGTTGTCGCTGGAAGTCGAAGGACTTCAGGTTTTGCTAATCTACAAGTGCAAGGTCTGGATGTGGGCGAGGAACATTTAAATTAATAAGCTAAACTGGCATTTGGATATGCCAGTAAGATATTCCATATCATAGAATATCATGTGCAGTATATTAATGAAGGTCTTTCTCTCTGGATTTCGCTCAGGTTCTCACTCTTCTGAGACTGCGGTTTCAGGGCTGTTGCTCCTCCAAGATCATTATCCTAGAACAGGCTGGGTTTGGTTGGCAGATGGTGAGCAACTGCACTGTGCATAACTCATTGGCATATTTTATTATTATTATTATCATTATTATTATTTTAAGTTTTATTTTATTTCAATCCTTAAATTGTTCTTATCTCAACCTATGAGTCTCCTTACCCCTCCAATTCTCTCCCCTATCTGCTGGGGCGGTGGAGAGGTGTGTGTGAGCAGCTGTGTTTGGCTGCCAGCCAAGTGAAACCACCACAAACCTTCAAGGGGATTATAAAATATGATTATCTTGGTGCAATTTAGAGACCTGTTAGTGTACAAGAAGTACTTCCAGCTTACAGTAGAGGATATGAATGCCGACAGGCACTCCGTTCCCTCTCTAAAGCCTCTTCAGATGCAAAGAAACACCATAAACTTGAAAGAAAAATAATTTTATTTCCAACTGAAAAAATACTTTTCTTTCTCTACTCATAGCTACCACAATAAATGAAGATGGAGTGGAAGAAGATTTCCCTGGAAGAATGAAGTATATACAATCACAGTATGTCCTTATTTTTATTTTTATTTTTTTTTTAACATACTGGTAATTTTCAACCAAATCTGTCAGATGTTGAAGGTTAACAACATCAAGGTGTCTACAAACTTCCTGTACCTGTTTTCATTAGAAAATATGAATGCTGCTGAAGGAAAGCTGCAGGATATGCTCAACCTCCATTTGTTACTAAAGAATCTAATACCAGGACACTAGGAAGGGCTGAACTGCAGAATCTTAATCAGAACTCAAGCTTGCTTAGAGACCAAGGCATCCAGCCACGCCATAGCCTCAACACAAAAGGATTTAATGGGTTTGGCAGTCTTAGGTCTATTCCTCCTACCACCTTGCCAGTGCTTTGCACATGGCCAGTGTCCCAGTTCCCCTGCAAAATCATTGATCTTCTGAATAAAAAGGTGCTGAAAGAATTATGGGGACCTGAAAAGCCCACAGTTTTCAGCAGTTTAAAAGGAAATTAGTGTATACTATTCAGAAACTGTTTTTTTTAAAGCACATTTATAATGCAAGCTGACAGTTTCATTTTCCAGTTCTGACTGTGGTATCCTTTCCTCTTCTTGGCAGAACTTGACCTGACTATTACAGCCTCCACACAGCCAACTCCAATCCAAGTAATCGACATCAACAGTATCAGCCAAAAGCAAAATCAAGGAAAACACCTTAAGGTAAAATTCATATAAGCATAAATGTTGGTTGCAACAGATGCCACTTCTTTTAATGGAATAAACTACTTGATAATACATTTGCATTTCATAACAACATAGTCTTGTGTTCAATATATGGAACTAGAACCATGAAATTTTCTTGACTTCCTCCATGTTCCACCACTGAATTATGGAGAATTTGGAACAATTTATTAATTTCTCAAATCTGCTATTTTCAAGTTGTAAGATTTAGTGACAGGCTGCCAAGTCCATTGTCACATCCTCGTCTTCCATGGAATATTTGCTTTCAAGGAATAAAATGAAACGCAGGGAAGTAAATATAAGAAATCTTTCATTTGTATACTGCAGTATTATGCTGATATTAAAACAGAATGAATTGCTCTAAAAATTTAATTCAACTAGAAATACTCGAAGAGACTGGCATGTAAGCTCTTCTTAAACCCACAAAGTAAGTGAGGGAAGCAACACATCTCGGACACCACAGCAACAGAAACCATCAAATCTATGCCAGCTACAGGAAAGGAAAACTGGGGAAGGAAACAGAGAAGTAGTAGATAGCAACAATGGCATGGATCTATAAAGCAGAAAGCTAAAAAAAAAATGCCAGCATGACTTCAGATCACACTGGAAAGACAATGCTCTCACTACCTACCGGCTTGGCTCAAAGCATGAATGAATTTTTAATTAATACCCAACAGAATGTATCCAGAAAATATTCACAGACAGAAAGAAATTCATAAACAAACCACCAAGCAGACTGGGAAGCAAAGGTGACTGCAAGAAGATTAGACAACAATATAATTGTAATTCCATGCATGTAATTTCCCATTTATGTTGACTTGCTGCAACAGATGTTCCAAGATCCAAGCTTGTGCTGGAAGAACGTGTTCCTGGACAACAAGAGCTCCAAAAACATGAACAAGCTTAACTGTTAGAATGACTAGAGTCTGCAACAAGCCGGAAACAACAGTGCTAGAAAACACCAACTGTCTTTCTTAGCTCATCTTACTATAAAAGCCTACAGAAAGATGACAAACAGATAAGCATTGTTAAGTGCTTCACAAGAAACACTCAGCTGAATGAGTAACAACTACTTTTCAGTTTAATTAGTCGAAAAAGATCAGGCTTCTAAATGTTAAACAAAGCTACTATAGAATTTCTAGTGGTCTGAATAACAGCATTGTAAAAAAAAAAAAAAAAAGTTAAGGTCATCTTTCCACTCCACATATAAGAACTCTAGTTTCATTATGATATTTAACTAGGCAGCAAAAATATAAATAACTAACTTCTATTAGCTACATACAAATGATATCATCTTTAAGCATATTTCATTACATGAAAATAAAGCCTGATTTATCCTATTAAAAAAAAATCCCATGGCTATATTTCATACTCAAGACAACTGATGATGAACACAGAAAAATACTTCCATGCTTTAAGACTCCTATAACAGTCTACAACATAATACAGTACTCTGTGATAACATCATGCAGTCTATAATATACTATAATACTCTAACAGTTATATTAAACTAAGCAGTGATTAAAGATTTTGCTTGTGTAAACACAACTTGTTATATGATTTAGCTGCTTTGCTTCATGTATCAGCATATAAGACAGAAGTAAAAAAAAAAAATAAAAAATTCTTTTAAATCATAAGAAAAGTCTGGATCTCACTTTCTCCAAGCCCTTGATCAAAAAGGCTCAGTAAGACCAACATAGATACTCAGTTTTCTTACCTCCATTAGGACCTGGGTCAGGAGGATCCAGAAGGACACCTCCCCAACACTTCCCGCTCCATCCTCCCTCTCTCTTAATTTTTACTTTTCTTTTCTTCTCCCATGTATCTCTCTGCTGAACAATTTCAGACTGAATTCTTTCTAGTTCTTCTTTTTTTCGTTGAGTAACTTCCTGGACTTTCCCACTTTTTATCAGGGGGGCATTAAGACCAGGCCACAGGAAACCAGAACGTCCTTACAAATAACAGAGGAAAATTATGGTTTATGTCAAATTAGGACTGAAACTCTGCACACAGGAAAAATGCAATAAAATGGAAAGTTCTCACATATTTCAAGTGTGTTTTATGATGCAAAATTTATATTTAAAAACAAAGAATAAAATTAAACAACTATATCAGGATTTTTTAAAGACAAAAAATATCTCAAGCAGTTCTGATACCACAGAAATTAACAGCAGTTTGACAATTTATTAAATCAAGGAACACTATACACTCAAAGGTCAAGTCATGTCTTCAGCCCCTTATTTTTGAATCTACCTTCACCAATCTCCTGGCCTCTATTGAGATTCTTCCTTAGCTTTTTCTTCCTTCTCTTTCCTCTTCCTTTCTTTACTCCCACACCAGTTTCTGCCAAAGCTCCTTTCCATAGTTCATCAGCTGTCACTGAAATAAAAAAGCTTTCGTAAGTGATGTACAAGTACAGCTTATACTGGAAACTGAAGCTGATAAAAAAAAACCCCAAACCTTGAAATATTAACCCTTGCTTGATCTTTGCTAGAATTTAAATAGTAAGATTACTGCTATTTAAATAGTAGTGATTTCCTACTCTGTGTGTGTGTGTGTATATCTGCTGCAGAGACGTGCCTCTGCTCCTGGTGACTGCAATCAGACAGGCACACAGCCAGGTGCATGGTTTTTAAAAGCATTTTCAAAATTGATTTAAAGGCAAACATTCCTAACCAGTATGGTATTAATTCTCAGGTAATTAAAAGAAAATCATTCATTAGTAATTCAGAGCAGCAATACTTGTAAACACCTATCCAAGGACAAATACCAATGACAGTCAACTTGAATCACTCCTAAAAAATATCCAAGGGTTAGTCTGCTTTAAAAAGCCACAAAATACAAGAAGTTAATCAGCAACATAAATCTGCTGCTGTTCTCGTGTTCTGACAAAATAAAAGGTCATCCTTATTTCCTGTATAAATGGAAAGGATGTAAGGAGTAAGGAATGTAAGATACTTTAACCAGCTTCATCACAGAGCTCAGGCTTTGGTCAGGCCTCCACACTCAGAGGTTGTGTACAGGACATCCACCATCTTAAGATGTTTCACCCAACACAGGAGAGCACGACTTAGGAAGCACATATTTAGTTGTTAACTTCCAACTACTATTTGCCCAACTGATGGAATTATAAGTATCCTCCCAACTTAGACAAAACCAAACTACATAAAAATGAAACTGATGATGTGAGGAAGACCACACCGACAATATTTCATCCTTTTAGTCCACACCAGAAGGCTATCACCATGGAATACACAGCTATCATCATTGTTGCATTTGGGGAGGTTTAGACTGGATACGAGGAACAATTTCTTGACCAAAAGAGTTGTCAAGCATTGGAACAGGCTGCCCAGGGAGGTGGTGGAGTCCCCATCCCTGGAGGTATTTAAAAGATGGGTAGATTTGGTGCTTGGGGACATGGTTTAGAGGTGGACTTGGCAGTTTTGGCTTTTCAGTTGGACTCTTAAAGGTCTTTTCCAACCAAAACGATTCCATGATTTGCAGATTAATGCTATTATTATACATCTCACCCAGGGGCAATGTTACTTTGGCAGTTTAAATCTCTTGTCTGCGCCGATGAAAAACTGATTTTGTTTACTTAAAGGAGACAAAAAAAGGTCATTAAACAGGGGAATTAAAATAACGATGCTCAAACTGCTCCAGTTTCCCAACAGCAATTCATCCTTGTTAGATTAACGCATGTGAGAGATCCTGTCCCACAGACTGGCAAACACACTGGAACTGCTATGTGGACAAAATGGTGAGGGACAGGAGTGTGGTGGTTTTAACTGCTGACGCTCGCTCATCCATCCCCACTGGTGAGACTGGGGTGAGAAAACACAACAAAAGGGGTCTGTGGATTGAAATGAGGACAGGGAGGGCTCACTCACCAGTTATGGTCACGGGCACCAGAAGACTTAACTCAGAGAAGAAAAATCAATTTGTTACCAGAGTAGGATAGTGAGATACAAATAACAACCACATCTCACAACACCTTCCCCCTACTCCTCCCTCCTTCCCGGGTTCAAATCACTTTGCTCCTGATTTCTCTACCTTCTTCTCCTCAGCAGCCCAAGGGGCAGGGAATGGGGGTTGCTGACAGATGATCTATTGCTCTTTTCTCCTCAGAGGAATGGCTCCTCACACTCTCCCCCACGCTGGTGTGGGTTCCCTCCTGTGGGCTAAAAGAGTTCAGGAACAAAGTGTTCCAACACAGGCTTCCCACAGAGTCATGGACTTCTCTGGGCACAGCCCCTGACTCTGGCATAGGGACCTCCATGGGATGGAGATGGGTCTCTGCTCCAGTGAACCTTCTCCCCTTGCTCTGGTGTGAGCATCTCTGGGGTCTTCTGCTCTGTCATGAGCTCTCCACATAGCCTCAACTGCCCTCAGGCACAGCTTCCTGCTCCAGCATGGGGTCCTCCATGGGCTACACATGGGTCTCTGCTCCACCACTAACTTCCATGGGCTGCAGGGGAATCTCTGCTCACCCAGGCACAGCCCTCGGCTCTGGCATAGGGACCTCAATGGGCTGCAGATGGGTCTCTGTTCCAGAGGACCCTCTCCCCTGGCTCTGGTGTGAGCATCTCTGGCGTCTTCTGCTCTGTCATGAGCTCTCCACATAGCCTCAACTGCCCTCAGGCACAGCTTCCTGCTCCAGCATGGGGTCCTCCATGGGCTACACATGGGTCTCTGCTCCACCACTAACTTCCATGGGCTGCAGGGGAATCTCTGCTCACATCCTCTCCCCTCTTTCCTCACAGACCTGGGTGTCTGTGGTTTTCTCCCTCACATCCCCCCTCTCTCTCCTCCAGTGGTCTTTGTTTGTTGTTGATTTTCCTAATCACTCTCCCAGCTGGTTCTCCCCCACATAAATATGGATTCCCAGAGGCATTTCACCATCGCTGATAGGCTCAGCCTGGGCTGGAAGTGGGTCCACCTTGGAGCCAAGGAAGCTTCTTGAAGCTCCTCACAAGAGCCACTGCTGCTGCCCCTTCCCCTGCTACCAACACCCCCTGCCAAACCCAACACAAGGAGCTATCAAGGCTTTCTAGAGATACTGCAAAATGCCCAAGTTTATTTCTGTATTGAGTAAGTTCACATACAGTCAAGGTGGATCTTCCAAAGGTATGATGCCCATCTTTTCAGTCCAAAATCCTTTTCAAAGAGGGATGTGCAATTGTGATTCTTTTTTTAAGTACAATCCCAAATCAAGCAATCAAAGCTCAGTACATTGGAAAGCAAGTATACAAGGAAGGACACACAACACTACAAGTCCAGGAAGCTACAAAATAGTATACCCTCAAGATGGGCAAGAGCAGACAGATCTAGAAAGTCACTATGTACCCAAAGAACATATTGTACCAATAATACAAAAAGCCAAAGTATGCAATACAGATTTTATCTGTGTTACAGACAAGTGAAAATTGTGTATTACAGACAAGTAGAAATCCCCATGGATTGCACATAACAGCAACATTTATCACACTTCTTTTATGCTGTGAGGCAAGAATTATATTTGCTTCTGGTTAGGCTTCAGTCCCTGTAAAAAATAAATTTCTATCTGAAATTACACTCTCTTTTCTAGACCTTCAAATGAACCCTAATATCCATAGGTTTATGGTTAAAAAAAACCCCACAAACACTAACTATATCAAATGGCTTGAAACCGGTGTCTGAACTGTCAGCCACCAAAAGGATTTCCAGCTGATTACAACAAACTGATGCATGTAGCTGTGTGTTAAATGCAAAAAAGGCCAAAACCAAAACCCAACAAACCTCCAAGCTTCAGCTGCACAGACCTCACCAAACAGAAAAACTCCATTTCTGATTCAGCACGTTACTTTCAGTAACAGCCAGACTGTGTTAGGCACTAGGCTCTCTACAAGCAGTGACTATTACCCTGAGATAACACTGCATTGGAGTTCAGGATAGAAAAAGACCGGTAACGAGTAGGTAACGCACGATGCAGCTTTTCATGTTCTGAAGTGGACTACAGGAGTGTTGCATGAGCTGGAAGGTTGACAATCAATCACGTTAAGCTTCTTAGCTTATTCAGAAAACACTGTGTAAGTAACAATTTATTTTTTTTTAATCATAATCCCGCTAGCCTGGAAACACAGAATTCAGTAAAGGTATTTAGATTTTGCTTGGTGAGGTTATTTTTAAGCTGGAATAGTTCCCTAATCTACTACAGTTTAGTGTGGCCTCACAAAAGGTCATACCAGCTACCAAGGAGGCTACAGAAGGACAGCAACAAGCAGTTGAGACAAGAACAGGGAGCTCTTGAGCTGGTAATAAACTAAAAAAACCCCAACCCCAGCACTTTGAGTTGTATTCTAAATATTTGTACAATAAAATCACTTAATCCCAAAAGAAGAAAGCAGCAAAAGTCACAGAGTAAGGAGATTGTTTTGTACCAGAGGAGACCAGTCAATGCCAACACATCCAGTGAGATGAGGTCAGACTGAGGCAAGTTTTAGCCTCAAGCACTGCACAAATTCTGACAAAATTAAAACTAGAGGAAAACGTCACATTTGGTACCAAAGTGCAGTTCATCTGATCAGTCTATAATAATATCATCATCACGTGTTTGGAAAGCAGCTGAATTTAATGAAACACATTAGAAACCTGCAGGCTACAGAGCTGAGAATGCTTTATAAGATGGCAGATATCACACTGATTTTGAGACAAAGCGACAAGAATGGAATATGGAAGGGATAGGCTGCAGTCAAGAACATTACAGTGGTGGGAACATTGCTTACGACAGACAGACAACACAGCCACGAAGAAAATTAAAATCTGACCTAAGAAAGGTCAATCTGACTTGGCAGCAAAGCACCAAGATGACTGGAGAGCATGTACACAGGCAGGAGAAACGTCTTGTAGTGGAGGAAATAACCCCAAACAGAAATGAGGATCGCTGTACTGCTTTTCAGATTTGCAGAAGTGCTCTGGAATGAAGACAGCACAGTAGGTATGTGGTCTCTCAATGACTTGTGGCCTTACCTTTGTGAAATGGGAGGCTGCATGCATTCCTCCAGAGCTAAAATAGACCCAGTCATAAAAGACATCCCACACTTCTAGCCAGTTAGAGAAAAGCACATAGCTACTAACTGAAAAAAAAAAAAAAAAAAAAAAAGCAAGAAAATGTGTCATGTAGAAGCTTTTATTTTATGGCCTAGAAAAAGATACACTATTGAATTTTGCTGAAAGCAAGCTGATCACTAACAACCACTAATAGTAAGTTTGTATGACACCATTCCATTTTGCTTAATCTACATAAAAGATGTTTGTAATATTTTGAAAAGGAGTTTGTTTTGTGTCTTTTTATCCTAGCCCTGGATTTCAGGAACTAGACAGCCCTAGTGCATACTTCAGAGGAAGATGAATACCACAGTAACTCACAAGTATTACCAAAAAGACTTGCTGTAAACCATATCAGAAAATAGTATTCCAGATCCTGATAAAGGGATTAAAAGCAGATTTCTTTCCCTCCTGCAAGATGAGTTCCCAGCTTGCTTAGAACATAAACTACAAAGAAAGACAAATAGCAGTAACTTGGAAAACTGAAGGGAATAAAAGGATGAGAAATAATCAACCTTGTAAAACAGCTAAGTAGGCTCACTTCTTCCACTTAGAAGCAATTTTTCTTTAAGTTTTTTGATGGCAAATAGCCTTGTGGCAGCACAGCAGCAGAGATCCAAAGACATCAATATTAACAACATAATAAAAAGACTCATGAATACGTTATAAACAACATGCTTCATTCAATGTACTGTTGCCCACTAATGCCATTCCATCTATGCATCTGTATTACCTTAGGAACATAGTAAGGTCTTTTCAATCACTAACATTCTCTTCCAGGTTTCAGCTTGGAGCAGATACTTTCATTAGCAGATTAATTCTAAAAAGGTATGACATTTCAACCCCTTTCCTTCTCCAGACACCAATGGTTTTGCCACCATCTTCAAACAAAAACTGCCCCTCCTCTCAGACAAAAATTGTACTGAAACAGGCACAAGCAAAGACATTATCACCAAATATCAGGTCTACTGAGACACACTGAAAAAGGAGGCAAGAGTTTGCAGAGGAAGTTATGTCTTTTTAAAACGTGACCTGAAAAACTTCAGGCCCTTCCATATCTCTAAATAAGCATGTGAAACTGCTAAGCAAATGAAAACTGAACTGCTTCCCATAGTGGTGCAGATGGAAAGGGGAAAGGAGAGAGGGACAGAAGCTAAGCCTCGAATAACAAGATCATTTTAAATTACTTCATTACAAACTCACTGAAGGACAAGAATAAACCCGTGCACACGCTTCTGTTAGAGTTGCAGGAGACAGCTAACGGGGTAAGGATCACAGACTGCCTAGGGTAATTGCAATTCCTCTTATTTAAATGAATTCCTTCTACTTGGCAGTTAGGTTGAAGGTATACATGACCCTAGTAACACAAGCATGTTAATATTTCTAAAAGGATGATGGAGAGAAGTAAATCTTCACTAATGAGATACAAAAGTACAGTCACCTTTCTCAGTCACAAAGGACTGTCATTTGGTTGACGTTTCACTTGAAAATTGTTTCACTTAAAATGGTCACATCTGCATTTTAATGTTACCACTTCTGAAGCAACTGCACTGCTGAAGGATATGAGTGATTTATATTTTGTTAATATCTACTTTGTTTGAATTTTGAATTTTATTTTTGACTTCTGTAAGAGGAACTGTTCTTAGAATAACTGTACTTTGAAATATAAACCTCTCAGTCTTCCGAATCTGATGGCTACTACCTTTGCTGAATACATAAAGGAGGCACACTTATTTCTTCCAAGTTGTTACATCTTATTAATTAAGCCAATAGCTTTAGCTAGTTTGCCTAAATATAACTTGTTTAAAATTTTATTAAGTCAAACAATGGGGATGTCATCAAAACAAACATTTTTAATTCAGTCATCTAACAAACATCTTTAATTAAGTCATCTAACAAACATCTTTAATTAAATCATCTAACAAGACAGCTGGCAAAATTCCTGGCAAAACAGACCTCATCTAGACTTTGTGAATATGAACACAAGCATAATTAAGGAAAAGTCTAACCTACAAATTGTAATCACATTGCAATCACTTGCAGTGCTGTATTTTAAATTTCAGATAAACAAAATAACAGCAGTGCTTAAGCTTCTTACATAATCTTACCTTGTGACTGCTCGGGTGCTTCAGAAAAATTTCTAAATTAATTTCTCCTGCAGTTGGCATCCTCAGAAAACCTCTACCACAGAGAGCCTCGGGTTCACAGTGCAGCCTTTTTCAGGTCTTCTGAGACCTTTCTACCCTCAGTTGTTTGAAATCAGTCAATGGTGAAAACTGACTGGATAAGCCAAACAGCCAGACAGAATGATTCCTTAAACTCCATTTCCATAGCAAATGTAAAGAAAACAAATAACTGTGTTCTGCCACTCAGATGGTGAGAAGAATAAGAACAGCCCACCAGTACTGAAAAGACTCATTTTGCAGAGCTCTTATATTCTCTGGATTACAAATAATCAAGGAACCTTGACTCTCAAAGTGCTGCAGTTATCTCCTCCACAGATTATGGCCTCACTATTCCTTCTCTTCCCTTATGGGATAGGATAAGGAACAACAAAACAGACAGAATGGGCCCTCAGCTATCTCAGTCCACAGTCTCAAGCAGGAATTTAAACAGCCATCATATCTCAGTGATGTTAAGCGTGTGTGTTAATTCCTTTCAGGACTGGAGGAAAATACTGCAGCCAGCCAGACAATTGGCAGGACTTTATCAACATTTTTTGTTTAACACATTATTGCACTTTGTTTTTTTCATTTTGAGACAGCACAGCTTCAACAGTGTGTCTTGCCTGTGGCTCAAAAATCATTTGGAAAATAAACACACAATTTATAATGGACTAGGAAACAGAGGGGAAGGTGTTTCCCCCCTTCCATCCAATGATGTATATTAGATGGATTAACTGTGACATAAATCAAACCCTTGCTTGCTATTAAAAAGATAATAAACTGACCTTGTGCATGCACTTCTGTCAATAGCTGTAGTTGCAGTTATGATCTTAGGAGACATATAACTAGAGTGGATACAAAAAGTTACTATACATAGATTTTCATGACTGTAGCTCTCCAAAGCAAAATTTATTTCCTGCCTCTGTTTACTACAGTTAATAATTTTAATCCAACTCGAGACTTACATGTATTGAAGAAACTGCTTCGTCTGCATTGATTGACTGTCACATTCCAGGGGGTAGAGATGGAACATTGTGTCTGGAAAGCCCACACCAGGCTAGAATACGAACAGCAACTCCCTTTCACTGGCACAGAAGCAAACCCTGAGAATGAAAACAGAAAGGTGTTTGTAAACAGCACATTTTCTCCTTTATAATAGCATTTCCTGCAAATATACACACCAGAAGAAAAAACAGTAATAGTTACTCATCCTGCTTAGTTTCCAAAGGGAATCAGACTTGAAGTTTAAAGCAAAGTTACAGAAGAGGGGGGAAATATCACACTAGAAGGTGTCACAAAGATAAGGCAGCTAGAAGGCTTCTAACACAATGCTGATAAGAGTGAGAATGCCCCCTCAGAAAGCAGAGATACTGTTCTAGCAGCAAAACCTGCAGTAATGTTCCTGGACACAACCAAAAGTTATAAATAAAAACATCATTAAATACTATGTGCTATGAAAATCAAATCTGAAATCAGCCCAATGATCCTGTTCAATATCTTCATTAATGATCTAGATGGTGGGGCAGAGTGTACCCTCAACACATTTACTGATGATACAAAACTGGGAGGAGCGGCTGTCACACCAGAGGGTTCTGCTGCCATCCAGAGGGACCTTGACAGGCTGGAGAAATGGACCCACAGGAACCTGCTGAAGTTCAACAAGGGCAAGTGCAAAGTCCTGCACTCGAGAAAGAACCGTATCCACCAATACGTCCTGGGGGCTGAACAGCTGGAAAGCAACTTGGCAGTAAAGGGCCTGGGGGTCCTGGTGGCCACCAAGTTGACCATGAGCCAGCAATGTGCCCTTGCAGCAAAAATGGCCAACAGCATCCTGGGCTGGGTAGGAGGAGTGTTGCAGTGGGTTGAGGGAGGTGATGGTCCCCTCTACTCAGAAGGCTCCACGAGTTCAGACACACCTGGAGCACTGTGTCCAGCTCTGGGCTCCCCAGTACAAGAGACACATGGACAGGCTGGAGAACTGGACATTAGGAAAAGGTTCTTCACTCACAGGGGGGTCAGTCACTGGAACATGCTCCTCGCAGAAGCGGTCGCAGCACCAAACCCTGCCAGAGTTCAAGGAGTGTCTGGACGAACATATGGTTTAGTTTTGGGTAGTTCTGTGAGGAGCAGGGAGGTGGAATCAATGATCCTTACGGCTCCCTTCCAACTGCAGATATTCTCAGATTCTATGAGAAAGTCCAGCTATGGGTCATGAAGATGATTAAGGGAGCATTTCTCATAAGAGGAGAGTCTGAGACAGCTGGACCGTTTAGCCTGGAGAAAAGCAGGCTTAGAATCATAGAATGGTTTGGGTTGGAAGGGACCTTAAAGCTCATCCAGTTCCAACCCCCCTGCCAGCAGCAGGGACACCTTCCACTAGAGCAGGTTGCTCAAAGCCTCATCCAGCCTGGCCTTCAACACTTCCAGGGAGGGGGCATCCACAACTTCCTTGGGCAACCTGTTCCAGTGTCTGACCACCCTCACAGTGAAGAACTTCTTCCTAATATCTCATCTAAACCTCCCCTCTTTCAGCTTAAACCCATTTTCCCTTGTTTTGTCATTAACTGCCCTTATGAAAAGTCCTTCCCCAGCTTCCTTGTAGGCCCCCTTCAGGTATTGGAAAGAGAGATCTTACCAATATATAAATATATATATATATACACACACACACACACACACACACACACGGTATATATATATCTACACATATACAAAAAACCACCCCTTTTTCTTCATGTTTAAGTGGAACCTCCTGTTTTCCAGCTTGTGCCCCTTGTCCTATCGCTGGCCACCACTGAAAAGAGTCTGACCCCATCCTCTTGACACCCACCCGTTAGGTATTGATAAACATTAATAAGGTCTCCATTAATAAGGTGCCCAGATGGAGTCTGAGGCAGCTGAGGGAGGACATCTGCCCATGCTATCCCAGTACGGGCTTAGGAGGGACAGGCACACAGATGTGGCTCGCACTCCAGTTCCCATTTGAAGCACTCCCACTACTGTGTACCAAATCACCTCTGAATTTTGTCTTGAAAACAGCTATTAAGAAAACCACTAAAAAATAATGGAATGACTCTATCAGTTCTCTAAAACATACGTGGGGCATATTGTGGAAAGAAAAAGCTGACGAGTTCTTCTAAAGGTCTTTGCCTCCAACACCTATGCTATTAGATTAGACTTTTACATATCCTGGTAATTTAGAGCAGAAAGAACTACACTTAGGAAGTGAGAAAGAAAACCAGGAATAGAGCTCCCACCAGTGTAAGAGGGACAAATCCCAATTTACAATAACAAAGCCATGTCATCAACTAGGTATTTCTAATGAAAAATAATTGATCATCTTCAACATTCACAGCATGGTAGACTAGCACAAAATGATCCATCTCTGAAGTAAATAGACATATTGCACAAATTTAACTTCATCAAATAAATACCAGCCAGGAATTAATAAAACTTCAACATTTCCAGGCAGCTTTACTTACCTTTGTTTTGTTTCTTCATGCGGATGTTTGTGCTTTTAAATTTCACTGCAATGTCATGGTAAACTGGAGGAGAGGGGAAAAAAAAGGCATTACAGCTAAATTCTTCATTCTAGCAAAGCTTCAGCTCAGCACATTTAAGGAGTACTTTTCTTTTCCAGACCTGATTGGGAAGTCAGTTTTATTCTCCTGTGAGTTCTTTAAAGAGAAGCGTTAATCTAGGCAAATTTCTGGAATGTATTATGAATGTTTACATATCTGTGAATACTATGTTATTATTGTATAAAAACCCTAAGTTTCACTTGAAAAATATGGTGTCTGTATGTCTCCAAGGATCCTCATTTAGCTTTGAAGTGAGCTCATGTGATACAATTTAACCTTCTTCCTCATACTCGGATTTTTCTAGTAATTCAGCTTTTAACCTAAGATTTCTCCATAGGCTTCAGTGTTCTTGAATTTTCCATACAGAATATTTACCATTCCAGTCTTCCTGCTTCTCTCTGCTTCAAAAGGAACCCCAAACTCATATCCTCTGGTGGGCAGCTGTGACATACATCTGATTCAGTGGCTCAGTCTCTGCATAGTGGATTCTAGCACTGCAGTCAAGGTGGCTCAGAGAGGACCTCTATGTTAAGCAGAATGGAAAGCTTGGTGGAAACACCACCAGTTTTTAATCAAATCCTCAATCTGCTAGTGTGAAATAATAATGCTCATGGAACAGACTCATGAGGATAACTACAGGTTTGTATTTGTAAGCTGAAGCTTTATTATACTGAATATTTATCTACACAATGACTTGGTTCAATATTCATATACTCTGTGAGATACTATCTTTCAACATTTTTCTGAAAGATAAGGGAATATTTGGTATACTGGTACCATGTATATCCATCAGAGAGAATCTGTATGGTATTAAAGTGGATTAACAAAAAGCTACCATGAAACATCAGACTGACTTCTCCAGCCCACATTCTCCCCAGCTGCTGGGCTTTGTCAGCATACATGGACTGAGTCAACAGGGAACCATCTCTGACAAAGAGGAAAAGCACAGAGGAGTTCACTGGAGAGAAGATACCCAGACAGTATCTGACTTCCTTAACTCAAACTGTGCCAGCAGAAAGCTAATCTTGCTACTACCCCCACTCCCATTAGTGGTAAAGCTACTACCACTCTCCCATTTAATGAAATACTACTCATTAAGTACCCAAATTTTAAACATGGCAAAGGCAGGAGAGGGAGATAAATCCCTCAGGATTTTAACAACAACAGCTCGTGTTATGTAACCTTAACTTTTCTTTGTCAACCTTCCTACAACTCTTGATAAAAACCTGAGTGAAAGTAAAGAGTAAACCACATATTCATTGCAGCTAATGGTGACATATTTTACAGAGGGACTGACAGACTATGTACTCTGGAAGAGTACATCACCACCATCTAGCTAAAACAGTCTGGGGTTAAGATTTCATCCAGCACGCTGAAGAAACAAAGTAATGCACAAAGAACAATAATACAATCCATCAGATCAGAAAGGTTTTCGGTAACATCTTTTTATGCTTGGTAACCTGTTGCAACCAGTTCTCGCTGGTATATTCAGTACTTACTGAAAGTTAAGAGAGTCTTAAAAAATGATAATACTCACTTGTGTGGTTCTGATACAGCTCTATAAATTGCAAGCAGCGTATTGCTTTATTCTTTGCCTAGGGAATAAAAGCAGAAAACATTTTTTCTTCAATTTTTCTGCAGAGTATTGGAAATTTATCATTGTTCTGTTAACTAGACAGGAAACAGCAAGAAAGCTAACTTAGGAAAACAGGTTTGCCACATCTAAACCATTTACTTTACGGAAAATGTTCTCTATAAAGAACTGTTTTCTCCTAACAGATTTAATATTTAAAAAGATTTCTCAATACAGTAGCAAATAAACTTTGTGTATTTTAGCACTGCTACTCTGATAGCTCAGTTGAGCATTACAACTGCATTAGTGTAGATGGACTAGTCATCAAGCAACAAATAATTCAATCAACATACTTTTCGTAAAGCATTCATCCTGTCACCCGCTTTCCCCATTGCAAAACCTGCGAGACAGAAAAGAGTCACTTTATTACTGAGAAACACGAGGCAGGACCTTCAAAAAGCAAAAGGAAAAAACCAGAGAAACTTCACAACCAAGTTTAGCACCTGTTATTTCTACTCCCTTGCATAAATCATACTCAGAAAATGGTCCAGAGAAAATACACAGAAACCTTACAACTGGATGCCAATTGCTTGTCAAACAAAAACAAATCAGGTTTTATTTATTTCTTTTGCATATTTGTCCAAACTTGTTCCAAACAACTGAATAGTGGTGACTGCTTCAGCCAAAAAAAAGTAGTCTTCTGCTTAAAATAAAAAAAGAAGGGAATGAAGGAAAAAAAGGAAGCTGATGCAGATACATCACCTCTGTCTGTACAAAGAGTAGCTCTAAGAGCCAAGAAGCACAGAAGGAGACCGAGTTTCTGTTAGTGAAACAGAGAATATGAAAAACAGGTTTAATAGAACAGTGCTTCTGCAAAAAATGCATGTCTGTAGAACAGAGGAAAAACAGATTGCCAGTTTACAAACTCTCTCTAAATCCTCAGAGCTACTCCTATTTACCAGGTGAACCGTGGTGGTGATGAAGAGATTTTGAAGCAGTCTCAGAGTATTTGCAGCAGTCAGCTCAGAGCAGGGCATCAACTGAGAGTACAGAATGAGTAACAGGATGTGACAACTGTTTTTATAAACTCTGTCCAACTGAATTAAAATAATTTAACTTCAAAACAACAGATTTAGCTTCTTTGGTCCTTTGATATCTCTGCTGTGTCAGCTGGGGTTGTGGGTTACCTGTATCCAAAACCCTAATCCAAAAATCAATGGGACTGGACCCATTTGCCAACACTGACTCACTAATTTCACGCAGATACTGCAAGAGAAATGGAGCTGGAAGAGATCTAGGACGAAAACACCATCTTGACTATTGTGGTGCTACAAGCAAAGAGGATATGTCCATAAGCCTGGAGGCTGCTGTGGAAGAAGCAGTAAGTCAAGAGTAGTGTCTGCTGTCGACTACCTCCTGCACAAGAAAATGCAAGGAAACTGTGTTATTCTTTTAACCATAAACACAGAGCACCACAGCAGCGTGTTAATGCTGTGAAGTTACACAATAGATTAGAAAATGCCAAAAATGAGGTCACCTGGACAACCTCAATTCAAGAATTCAGCACATGTGGATTAAGGTGATAACGTTTAATGGAAAAGCTTTTCAAAGAACAGGCAGGAAGAATTTTTTCAGAGTAGCATATCTTTCTGCTGGAGAACCACACCTTCCTCTATATACAATTTTTCCTCTCCTCCAAACTGCAATTAAAATTGAAGAACACATTTTGACTTGAATCTTTCACATAAATGAAGTTCTGCAAAACTACAGCTGACTGGAAATACAGTTGTCTTATTAAAGCTCCCACATACATCCCATCATCAGAGATATCTACTCAGCTCATGATAAAAGGAGACTATTTATATCCAAAAGATGGATGCTTTGCATATATACTGAAGGCAGGATTTTCTTCACTGGAGTCATATAGCAATGCAAATGCAATTTCCTGTACTCTGTCACCAATACAATACATGCCATATTCCTGCCTCCTAATAGAGGTAGGAATTCTCTATTATTTGGATTATTTACTTCACAGCTATTCATTTCTTCTTTTTCAGCTGATTCTTCTTTTAATTCTGCACTGCTGTCTTATCTTTAAGTCCACTTGAGGTCTGAAAGGAATTTTAATGTACATTGGTTTGTATCCACAAGAGAATACATTAGAACTATCTCCTTATGGAGAAAAACTTAGCACATTCAAGGGTGTTTCTTAAATAAAACTTATCTTGCAACAAAAAAAGTCTTTAACTCCTGGTATTTGAAAATACTGAGTGAAAAATAAACACTATTTCCTCAATAACAGAACTGGAAACATGCAAGAAACTCGTTGCCACAGAGGGTGGCTGCATAGTCCCTTTATGCTGGGATCCAGGGCTAGTTCATAGAATAGAATCGTAGAATCATTAAGGTTGGAGAAGACCTCTAACAACATCAAGTCCAACCATCAACCCAACACCAACAAGCTCATTAAACCGTGTCCCTAAGTGCCACATCTACTCACCTTTTAAATACCTCCAGGGATGGGGACTCCACCACTGCCCTGGGCAACCCCTGCCAATGCTCGACAACCCTTTTGGTGAAGAAATTTTTCCTCACATCCAATCTAAACCTCCCCTGGCACAACTTGAGGCCCTTTCCTCTTGTCCTATCACTAGTTACTTGGAAGAAGAGACTAACATACACCTCTTTACAGTCTACACCCTCCTTTCAGGTAGTTGCAGAGAGTGAGAAGGTCTTCCCTCAGCCTCCTTTTTTCCAGACTGAACAACCCCAGTTCCCTCAGTTGCTCCTCATCACACCTGTGGCTCCAGACCCTTCCCCAGCTCCACTGCCCTTCTTTGGACATGCCAAAACCAAGTTAGATGTTGCACTGAGATGGTTTGATTGATTCTAGAGATAGCTTGGTCATCACTACCTTGCACAGATAATTGTGCTTAGAGTTCAGTTCCAAGGAAATGACAGTTAAACTGAACACCTCTGCCCAATATTCTTTCTCCAATCTTTGCTGAGAAAGAAAAGGAAAAGGTCTCTTTTCATAGCTTGTATTATAAGATCCTTCATAATCTTATGTTTCTTTTGATTTGTCCTATTTATTTTGTGCTGTAGACAGCATTTCTGTTGTTGGACTTCAAATTGCTTGCTGAAGAGACCGGTACAAAGAGTCATAATGGAGAAAGTCTACAAATAGGTCAAGCTGCAGATCACTCAACAAGTTACTATGAGACTGGACTCAAAGGGCTCCAAGTATTCTATTTTTCCCTAAAAGTGTAAATATAGTATTCATAGGAAGGCCATAAAGTGGATTTTTTAAATTATTATTAACTTCAATAAAATTAGAAAGCTTCCTAAAAAAGCTGAATCAGAAGGAAATTTAGGGTCCTTTTATTTGTCAGATTAATTAAGAATTTCTGAATCAAGATGCTAGCTGAGACTATGAGTAAACAAGCCCTTTTTAATCAAAAGCAGCACTACTTCCAAGGGACTCGAGAGACAGGGAGAAGAAAAAAGCAGGCAGCCAGTTTTATACTGATTCTACCTAGAAATACTGCCACTAGCTAGAAAATAACCCAGGGAAATGTGTAACCAGTCACACTGCCTTCTGCTGCAAAGTGGTCACGGCTCTTAGAGCAAATGAAAATAAACCCTCATAAACCCAAATAACACCAAAGTGATTTTCAAAACCAGAAAGACATCCACTGGTTCTACTTCCTTACGACTCCAGTCAAGCACAGGCATGCCTTGTGAAGAGCGCGCTCGGCTGAGTGTTCTTCCACCATCAGCACAAGGGGATGAATGCTTCCTGGGATGTGTCAGCACACCTTTTGCAGGTGCCTGGTTCTTGTCTTTGACTTGAGAGTAATTACCTACACTCTGCAGCAAGGTGACTAAGAGTAGGTGAAACAAATGCAGTTTTGCATGGCTGTATTTTTATTATTTTTTTAATATAAACAGTATCTACAGTAAAAAGAACCAGTGTGTACAAGAAAGCATAGATGATCCCTTCTTGTAGGATCTTAGTTCTATCACTCCAGAGGTAAATAAAAAATGTTTTTACTGCTGGAAAATGCAGGTTTGAAACCTAATCACATATTACTATTTTTCCCAAGCTTTTTTTTTAATACAAAACAAAGCATGCCAATGAATACATACATAATTTGACTGTAAAGCTTACTTTTATAGATGAAACTCATAATTCTTAATGGTATTTTAATATTGTTCAGTGGAAAAAAAGAGCAACTTTTCTATTTTTTTTTTTTTAAGTATAAAAAGTCTTTTTAAAAATCACCATGCCTCCCAAAGTCCTATTACAAACAACGACTAATTTGGCTTCCTTCACACACTGTAAATGCACATACCTGCAGCCCCTTTACCATTTCCAATAGCCACTAAGGCACGTATTGATTTTTTTCTGCCTTCCTTTGCCTTCATACAAAACACATTTTTCACCTGAAGAGAAAAAACACAAAGCAACTTGTTATGGCACAATCCAATTATTTGGTGTTTTTCTGTGTGGTTTTGTTTTGTTTGTTTGTTTTTTTAAAGAGACAGTTTACCAAAAAGGAATTAGAGGTCTTACAATATATACTGTGTTTGTCAATGGGTATAATCTGCAGTGGGACACTGGTGTCAAGGCATTAAATACGTTAAGGCTGCTAAAAAGCTATTCTCAAGCATGGAAGAAATTACCTCAGTAGAGTTTCATTAAAATATCCCCTCTGTTGTGTTCAGCTGCACTACAGATACTGCTGACAGCTTCATGCATGATCAATCGTGATGAAAAAACATGGAAAAAATAGGAAGTGACATTAATACCTCACTGCCCCCCTCACACTGTAACGTGTTTTAGGAGCACTCCCAGGAATTGCTCAAGGCACGTTGTTGCTTTACACAGGTTAAAACTTTGGATCAAAATCTACTTGCAGACTGCAGAAGGCAGTCTCATTACTGAGGTGACAGCTGCTGCAAGGAAGACTTCCTTTAAGAGAGGGCAAGAAGAAAATGGCATCTCATTCCTGGAACTAGAAATGTTTACATAAATTCTGCAAGAAATTCAAGCTGAGATGCAAGAAAGTTATTAAGTTTGGAGTGGGGGGACACAACAACAACTGGGGAAACTGGTAGCTTTATGGTTAGCACTCTAGAAATCTGTATTTGTTTCTGCCTCTGCCACTCTCCTATATGACTACAGGCAAGTCACTGCTTTATAGTGTCCCACCTTAAACAGTCTAATACAACTGAGATCCTTTGTCCATCTACTCATGTTCTAGTTTCCTTGGTTTTGTTTATATATTACAATAAATGTTTATTTAAATATATACATATATTTTTATATATAGCTTATATACTGCATATAATATATAAACAACATATAATATATCAATGCATACAAAAT